ACTCCCCGCTTATCCCTAGGGGATACGTTCCAAGATCCCCAATGGATGCCTGAATTCCCGGAGAGTACCCCGTGACATGTTTGTTTGTGTCTTTCACCCAAAATTTAATGCCTTTTTCATCTTAACTAAGTGCTTATCACATACTGTGGCGGTGACGTTTGCAGTTTGAGGTGCAGCAGCAGAATAATCATGAATTTCTTTTTCCTTCTTCACAATTTTAGATATAAAGATTGATTCTTACCATAGATCTTAGCAACCTCAGCATACGATTTCTTTTTTCTTTTCTTATTGAGAACTTCCACTTTTTCACTTAAAGAAAGAACTTTACAGCTGCTTTTTGGCATATCCAAATTGCCAGGATCACTGCTCTTGCACTTTGGGGCCATTAAGTAACTTGAAGTTACCTGAAGACAAACGCTACAATGCCATGGCAGTCCGTCTGATAACCAAGATGGCAGCTGAGTCACTAACAGGCAGGCAGCCTGTACACGATGGATACACTGGACAAAGGGATGCTTCGCATTGTGGGCCGGATGGAGAGGGAAGGCATGAGATTTCACCACACTATTCAGAAAGGCATATGACTGAAAAGTTCATTTCTGGAATTTTCCATTTAATATTTTCAGACTGTGGTTAACCATAAGTAACTTGAGATTGCAGAAAAGTCGAAACCACAGATGAAAGGAGACTACTGTATATGATGTTTTCACCTCAAGAGCATACAATAATTTGAAACAATTAAGGAACGATGAGTTTTGAATATCACCTTTATTTTTGATATATTTATTTCAGCAAATAATCCCTGAAAATGTAAAGATTGGCTTTTGCAAGCTCTAGCACACCACTGATGGATAATTGAAGAAAATGGTAGAGGTTGAATCCAGAGCACTTTATAATTTATTATTGTGCAGGGCAAGGGGCAAAAACAGACTGAGATGATTTTTCAATTTTAAACCCAAGTGTCAAGGAGAGCCTGAGAGTGGGAGGAGAAGATATGAAAGAAGAAGATGCTGATTAAGCTTAGAATCTTTTTGTTGTACTTGAAGACAGTTTGAAATACCAGTCTCCACTTGTGCTGAAAAAGAGAGCCGTCACTTTAGGAATCCTTTGGAGACTACTATTGAGAGAAAGGACAGAACTTTGGGGGCATGATCCACATTTTGGGGACTGATAGAGATATGTAATCTGAGAAATTGATATAGATGGAAGAATCCAGAGAAGCAAGTAGAGAATTAGCATTGGAGTCAAAAAAAAAAAAAAAAAAATGAAACATACTGAGGCAGAGTCTGAACAGGTGCCAGTAGATTTCTGAAGATGACATTTAGAGTTCCTCTTTGATTTCAGTTTCAAACGTGGTAGGAATTCTACCCTGTTAGCAGAACCATGATACAGGATCATGATATAGTTATTTTGGGCCGATTTTGTGTACTACCTCTTTTGGATTATTTTGTGTATAGAGTATCTCCACCCCTGTTACCATTGACCCCAAGGGAGTATCTGATGTTTCCCACACTCCCTTGACTAGTGTCCTTAAAACCAAGGATAAAAGGCTTTTCAAGGAACCCGCATTAGGGAAGAGTCAAATGCTGCTAATGGAGTATTAGAGAAGAGCAGGCTACAAAAAAGTCAGCATATTTGGTAATGATTGCTGACCTAAATGGTGGAAAACATTATGAAGCAATGGGGGTGCTGGGAACAGGGTGCTAAATTTTAACACCATAGAACCTGCATTTGAGTCTGCTCTGCCATCCAGGCATGGCGTGGATGACGACTGTAGGACTTCAGGGCAGTTCCCCAGTGTTGTGAGTCAGAGAAGGGGAAAGGAAACCAACATTTGCTGAATGCCTCTTAGGCACCAAGCACTGTGGTAGGAAGGCCTTTGAGTGCCATCTCATTTGCTATGAAATAAATATGAAAGCAGACAGCTCCTCAGATATAAGGCACATTTACTGAAAAGAAGGCAGAGAAAAGGAAGAGCAGCTTGAGGGAGTAGATGAAAGCAAGATTTTAAAAGCCAAATTTCAAATGTTTTGGAAGTAACTCTATCATAATTTTCTCAGCATTACGTTGCCTGTTTCTTGTCAGCTTTATAGGCTGAATGTTAAAATGGAGTTTTTACCTAGAAATAAGTCACTCTTCCATTATGTTTGCAAAACACGGTATGTTTCATTTAGCCTTAAGACTTACTGGATAATTAGACTCAGTAGAAAATTAATGAGAGTTAATTGTGACCATCATGATTTAGGCAATATGGGAAAATAAGGAAGGAGTTAAGTGACTTTGTCAGGGACACACAGCCATTGATATCTGAAGAAGTACCTTGAACCTCATGGTCTCGCTTCCAACTAAAACATACATTTAATATTTAAGAAGTCCCTCAAGAATTCTTCATCATAGAAGAAAGGTAACAGGTTAAGTTCCAGAGGTCAGCTCCTTCCCTATTTTCCATATGAATAGCAAGGTTGGGCAGTTTACAGTATTTTGAGTTTTGGGGGAAAAAAAACAGGTTTTGTTCAAATCATAGCCTCTGTTATTTCTTTTCATCCCACAATTCATGATTTGGACTCATACACGTATTTGATTTTTTTCCCTTCCTTATTTTTTGGATAAAAAAAATCACCATTATGAAAAGGTTGACACTGTTTAGAGTTGGAGTTATTCCTCCCAATTTTTCAAGATCCTGTAGTATCTTTCTGCCAGAGTATAGAACCATGCATCATCCAGACATTTGAATGGTCCCTGATGCATATTTTGAGAAAATAGTCCTGCCATTATCTAGAATTGACGTGATATATAGGGCTCAGTTATAAGGTTTACAGTGTGATTTCCATTGGGAAGAATGGCATAAAACTGTGTCCAATTAGAAACGATGCACAGCTGCAATGAAGACAGTTTAGAAAGACAACACAGAAAGAATGAAAGATGTTACTCAGAGTCTCGGGACCTGCCAAACACAGGATTTGAAAGAAACCCAGAAAGAGAACTCTTTTCCAGGTTAAGTCTGACTTGGGTTTAACTGCAATCCAATGGCATATCAGGAAACCAGCAGACACACTACTTATAAAGTGACTTTCCTGTCTGTTTATTCCAATCAAACACTATGCAGAGCAGTCCTCAGATACTCCTTACCTAGTTCCAAACCCTTGTCAAATGCAGGATTTTGCAGTGACGGAAGAGTCCTGGTTCCTATGTAGGCTTACCTTACCAGGATGGACAGCTCATTACTGGAGGCTTCTCAAGCCAGTCACTAATTTGTTTACTTATTTCACAAACACTGTTGAACCCTTACCGTGTGCTTTGTGTAGGACACACACAGGTTTTTTTAATGCAGTTCCTGCTCTTAAGATAATTGCTATTGTTTATGGATGGCTACCCTGAATTCATAAAACAATTTGGTTATAACTATAGTGAAGAGGGGTATTTGAGGGCACCAAGAGATATGAGGCAGAGGGTGATTAAGACCACCTGGGAGGGTGGGAATGGGGAATGTCAGGGAAAATTTGCCATCTAACAAGCTTCTTTAGAACCAACTAAATAAAATGAGACTTCATGGATCTCAATGAACCGGTCTATGCTAAGGTATGTGCTGTCATCTTAAGACTATGTTTCAGAAGGCTTTTGCATGATGTATCAATATCATGTCAATGTGTGTGTTTATACTTGGGATTGGAGTCTTAGCATCAGTATTCAGGAGCCCTCTGGCATAGGACATAAAAGGGTAAGCTATTTTAAAATACTGGTTATATCAGATTCCCAGTTAGCCCAGTCTGCAAATCACAGAGCTCCTGAATGGAAGCTAGCTTTGATACACACTGTTCAGCAGTTAAATAAAGGTATTATTTTGTTTAAAAAAATGCTCTTACTGCCTTGCAGCCACTTGACACCAAACAGAAACTGCCATTTCAGTTGAGACAGGCACCCTGGTGAGCGTTAACTCATTCATTTTGGAATTCTGGTATCTTCGTTGCACTGGTGCCTTGCCAGACCTATGAAAAGTTTCACTTGTAGCTCGCAGAGTCTGCAGTGTGATTACAAAAGCCATCCATCTTTTTTTCATGCTATAGCATCTTTAATTCCTCATCCTTCCTGTCCTTCCAGTCCTACTTCAAATGCCACATCATACACAAAACTAATACATCATTTTTCTTTCTTGTGTTAGAAATAGCTGTGTATAAAGTATTATGTTCCTTTTATACACTCTGAGCTCTTTTGAGATAGCATGTAAGTCATCTTTATTGCTGTATCCCCTACTTCACTTAGCAGAGTACTTCATTGTTCATTGAATGAAGAAATGGATAGATCAATGATGGATGGACAAATGAATACATAGATACACAGATGATAGGAAAGATGGCAAGTAGCAAATGAAGGAGGCTGTCTGTTGCTGGTTTTCTAAGGTGGTAATATATACCTATTGCTGTTGATTACCAGCCTGATAAACACGCGTGATCAGGAGGAGAAAGTATTTTGGATTGACCATACTTGACACATATGTGACCTCAGCCTGAAGGGTTATGATAAATAGGAAATAGGTGAGGTTTACCATGAGATAGTAAAAACAATCTTTATATTTTGTACATAGAACTTAAATAGACTGAGAGAGTTTGTAAAGTCTATAGCCTAGTCAGATCTGGACCAATAATATAAAAGTATCTTCTCAATTCGGACAGGCTAAATGTTTGTATTTTCTTCATGACTTGAAAAGACTTCAAAATAATGTCCACTTTGTATTGCATGATCAAGAAATATAGTGATTATGGATTTAATATTTTGTACATTTTAAAACAACTAATTTCACTCAGTCTTTTGTTCCCTGCCCTCTGATTATGACGCCTGGATAATAGTTTTGGCTTTAGAGTATTACAAAGTCATCACCGTAGCTATTTGAGTAGAAGTAATGGATGTAAGGTCTAGTTAATAAGAATAATAAAAACACTTTTATTTTGTATTGATTTTTCTGATAGGTTTATTTTGGCTTTTGTCTTTTATTTTCCTCATAGTGCGGGAGTTGGCCGGACTGGCTGTTTCATCGTCATAGATGCCATGTTAGAAAGAATAAAGCATGAAAAAACTGTAGATATTTATGGCCATGTAACTTTAATGAGAGCCCAGAGGAATTACATGGTTCAAACAGAAGACCAATACATCTTTATCCATGATGCACTGTTAGAAGCAGTGACTTGTGGAAATACCGAAGTGCCAGCTAGAAACTTGTATGCCTACATTCAGAAGCTGACACAAATAGAAACAGGAGAGAATGTCACAGGAATGGAGCTTGAATTTAAGGTAAGACATTGGATGTGATGTGGTTCTTCAGGAGCAAGTCATTCGGGGTTTGTCTTTGAGTTGCCCCTTCGCTTTCTTAACCTTTCAAATTTGTGAAGTACAAAATCAGTGTGACCTTTCCCTCAGGTGTCTGATTATAAAACACATCCCTCTCCTTTTCCTCTTTTATTCTTAGCTTCCTAACTATACCTTGAGCCCTTTTGTCTCCTAATTTAAATGACATTATACTTTCAGAAAATAAATAAAAATCCAATAGGCTCTAGGGAGTAATTCGGTAGATGTGAAAAGCAGTACAATTTGAATCGCCATTTACTTTAAACAGAAGATTTCTATCTAAAAGGGACATTTGGGGTACACTGCATTTAAACCATAGTGAAAATTATCTTTGTTGTTTTTTTTCTTTTTTCTATTCAACAGCGTCTAGCCAGCTCAAAAGCTCACACCTCAAGATTTATCAGTGCCAATCTTCCATGTAATAAATTCAAAAATCGCCTTGTTAATATTATGCCATATGAATCCACAAGGGTATGCCTGCAGCCTATCCGTGGAGTAGAAGGATCTGATTACATCAATGCCAGTTTTATTGATGGATACAGGTATCTACTGTTGCTCCTCTGACTATCCAAAGCCTTGATATTTACATGTGCCCTAGTTTTATAACCAGAATAAATTTCATCTCCATTGAAAGCTATTTTTCTGCATCGGTCAGCATTTAGTCCCTTGGTATTTGTTTTTTCTTATTTTGGGTAGGAGTAAGAAGCAATAGTTATGAAGTGTTTAATCTGGCCTGCACTTTTCTTTCGGAAGCCAATTGGATTTCTAAGGAGTTAATAAAGAATCTATTTTGCACTGTATTTCAGAAATTTAATAGATTGTGTGAGAGTAATTTCTAGAAAATGAAGCTGCACATCTAAGTGTTTCTTAAGCGATTTGTCTGACACATGAAATTGGGCTATTAGCATTGCACTAAAAGTCAAATAATAAAGACATACATCATAATATTAACAAGCAATTTATTTTGTAGAGTCCCCAAAATGTATTAAATGCTCTCATTCGATTATGTAATCTTCGCGGAAATTTACAGCAGTTGCATTAATAATACGTTTTCATTTTTTATTATGAGGTTAATATTTGTATATCAGGTGTGAGCTTTTCCATGTTCTCTAAATACTTTAACACGTTCTTTTCATTCTCTGTAATTCAGACAACAGAAAGCATACATCGCTACCCAGGGGCCCTTGGCAGAGACCACCGAAGACTTCTGGCGGATGCTCTGGGAACACAATTCCACCATCGTTGTGATGCTCACCAAGCTGCGTGAAATGGGCAGAGTAAGTGTGGCCTCCGTAAGACATTCACTCCGTGGAGAAATGAAGACTTTAATAACTTTTTTGCCAGTCATTTTTTTTTTTTTTGACATGCAGTGTACTGTGGACACAATCTAGACCATCCATTATTCCTTGTTAGTTTCTAAATTTCTAAAGCCACGTGAAGTTTTTAAATTTGTGTGTTTTAAAGAAAGATCCCGTGATTTGATTCCAGTGTGGTACAGGCATAGAGACAAATGAGTAGCAGTTGTCCCTGTTTGACTTGTGTCTGACTCTCAACATATTCTTACTTCCTTTTATTCTGGACAGGCTCGAGCCATAAAAAGGCACTTGACTTTTATTCCTGAGGCCAATTCTTACTTGCCTACGTTTCAACCCATTGAATAAAGTGTTGGAAAGTTAGTTTTTCTAAGGATATAATCTGGTAATCCTAGATCCCCTTTTTCTTTTAAATGTGTTTTTTCTTTCTGAAATACACAGAAAATAATATTAGAAATACTTAAGGTATCTACTAATACTGCTATACTATTATGACCTAATATTATTTTGAGACACCTCTTAGATTCACTTGATGTAAGCATTTGTTTGTATTTGCTTCAGATAAATCCTCTCTTTGTGTAAATTTCATAGTAGAAGTGCAGCTAAAGCCCAACTTTTAGAGTCCCCAGAGAGAGCAAAAGGAATATCAGACTAGGAAAGTAACTGACTGACTCTGATGTGGCCACTGACTCTGCAGGGTTTAGCCAAGCCAGTAAAATGGCCTGGGCCCCTGTTTCCTTGACAAGAAAGACTGGAACAAATCAATTCAGAGGTTTCTTTGTGTGTTCAGACTGGTGGTTCTCTTCATTGCAAACCACGGTGGTGCAAGTACGCTGTGGTGGTGCGGTGTATTACTGTCATGGCCAGCACTGTCCAAGGACTGATGTAATTATTTGGATAACTTGTAGGTAGGAAGATGGTTATCCTGTCAAAGTATTCAACTCATGTATATTAAGCGGCTAGTATCTGCCGGCTACTCTGCTGGATGCCATGGGCAAATACTGAACCAAAAGGTTTCCCTATTCTCAGGGAGCTCATGGTTTCAAAGAGAGAGTGAGTCATATGCAATTGGAATTACCTTGAATTTAGAAATGTTATTAATGGGAGAAATAAATTAGATACATAGGTAAATAGGTGGATTCTATGCAAAATCTTCTTCATAGCTTGCAAAGTTTAACATTAATCTTCTCTCCTTTTAGGAGAAATGCCACCAATACTGGCCAGCAGAAAGATCTGCAAGATACCAGTACTTTGTTGTGGATCCCATGGCCGAGTACAACATGCCGCAGTATATCCTGAGGGAATTCAAGGTCACAGATGCCAGGGTAAGTTGGCACAGTCTTCAATTCTTAACCATTAGGTGACAAGCAGTGTAAGATACCTCTCTCTCTGGGAGCAGCATTTGCCACTTGACCATTGTCCCAAAGAGAAAAGAAACCACTATTTCTGGAGAACTATTTTTTTTTTTTAATATGTAAGAGTCACATTTCCTCTGTCTGGCAAGCTTTCTCACAAACCTAAGTTTGGCTTTCATTCAAACATAACATCTGGCAGCTCAACCTTGGGGATGCACTTGGTGAGTGTTTGTATTGGGACGCGTTTACTGATTGGTTGGCTGTGCTTAAGTTCACCTTCTCAGCTCATTCTCTTTGGAGCTTTTTTGACTTCTTCATTACTTGAGGCTGTAGATATGTTGTTGTTTTGCAAAGCCCTTTAGGTCATATGGACCCAGAGGTTAATTTGGTATGATTTTGAAACTGCAGAGCAAATGGCATTCTTCAGAAAAATCTGACAAGCTTTGCACATTCTAATGTGATTCCTGGCATGGTTTATTCCTCAGTGTGCTAATGTGTCTGTCTATGAGAGCTGTGCTCCCACGACCCTTGCTGGCTAATTTTCATTCTGCATTTCTTATCTGGATTGTTGAGTCCAAGGTTCAGCCCTGATGTAAGATATTCTGTGCATAAACTCTAATATCCTTGCCTTTGGCCACTTTCAACCCATGATTACAAACACAGCTTAAGGGAGACCAGGTCAGTTAAAAGACCTGCCTTGTGTTTGGAACTGTCATAGTGGATGGGTTGAATAAAACTCCTGGGTAGAGCTATTTACTTGATTCATTGTTTTTCCTGGAAAGCAGCTTTCTCCAAACTTATGGTTGGAGACAGTCTGCTAATCCCCAAAGCCTGGCCCTGGCTGTTGACCTTAAGAGAAAGAGAAATTGCTAACCTTAAGTTAGCAGGAGGGACGGCCTTGGTGACAGACCTGTTAATCTCAGAAAGTCCTGTTAACTATTTTGAAGGTGACTGCATTCAAGGCAGCAGTTAAGTCTCTAGGTCTCCAGTGTGAGTTGCCCAGGCAAGCAAGCCTTGGTGATCTGCCCCACTGGAAAAAAAGAAAATCAAACTCTTTCAGAATTTGAAGCTAGGTATGTGAGTGAAAATAGTAAGCAGATTTTGAGCAAACTCACCAACTGATCCTGGTGATAAAGACAAGGGACCAGGCCCCACCCGTGGCAGAGATGCCTTACTCTACACATGCTCAACTTAAATCTGATCACAAAAAACAAAAGAAAGTTGAAAGTGGAACTTGCTCACATTTATTTTTTTAAGTCTCCCTGTGATTGTATAATTTTCTTAGCTACCACATTTGCTGTTTGTGCTCCTGGAGTGTTTCTAATCTCAACTTCCCAGTTTAGAACGCAAACTGGAACTTGAGAATACAGTATTTCGATGTTGTTATTGTTGCTGTTGTCTTCTCCTTTTCTAAAAAAATTATACTTTAAGTTCTGGGATACAAGTGCAGAACGTGCTGGTTTGTTACATAGGTATACACGTCCCATGGCGGTTTGCTGAACCTATAAACCTGTCATCTATATTAGGTATTTCTCCTGTTATCCCTCCCCTAGCCCCCCACACCCTAACAGGTCCTAGTGTGTGGTGTTCCCCTCCCTGTGTCCATGTGTTCTCATGGTTCAACTCCCACTTATGAGTGAGAAGATGCAGTGTTTGGTTTTCTGTTCTAGTTTGCTCAGAATGATGGTTTCCAGCTTCATCTGTGTTCCTGGAAAGGACAGGAACTCATTCTTTTTTATGGCTGCATAGTATTCCCTGGTGTATATGTGCCACCTTTTCTTTATCCAGTCTATCATTGATGGGCATTTTTGTTGGTTCCGAGTCTTTGCTATTGTGAACAGTGCCACAATAAACAGATGTGTGCATGTGTCTTTATAGTAGAATGATTTATAATCCTTTGGGTATTTACCCAGTAATGGGATTACTGGGTCAAATGGTATTTCTGGTTCTAGATCCTTAAGGAATGCCAAACTGCCTTCCACAATGATTGAACTAATTTACACTCTCACCAACGTGTAAAAGCCTTCTATTTCTCTACATCTTCTCCAGCATCTGTTATTTCCTGACTTTTTAATGATCACCATTCTAACTGGCATGAGATGGTATCTCATTGTGGTTTTGATTTGCAATTCTCTAATGACCACCGATAGTGAGCTTTTTGTCATATGTTTGTTGATCACATAAATTGTTCTTTTGAGAAGTCTCTGTTCATATCCTTTGCCCGCTTTTTGATGGGGTTATTTTTTTCCTTTAAATTCGTTCAAGTTCTTTGTAGATTCTGAATATTAGGCCTTTGTCAGATGAACAGATTGCAAAAAATTTCTCCCCCCCTGATGATTTTCTTTTGCTGTGTAGAAGCTCTTTAGTTTAATTAGATCCCAATTGTCAGTTGGGGGTTTTGTTGCCATTGCTTTGGGTGTTACAGTCATGAAGTCTTTGATCATGCTTATGTCCTGAATGGCGTTGCCTAGGTTTTCTTCTAGGGTTTTTATGGTTTCAGGTCTTACATTGAAGTCTTTAATCCATCTTGAGTTGATTTTTGTATAAGGTGTAAGGAAGGGATCCAGTTTCAGTTTCCTGTATATGACTAGCTAGTTTTCCTAACACCATTTATTAATCAGGGAACCCTTTCCCCATTGCTTATTTTTGTCAGGTTTGTCAAAGATCAGTTGGTTGTAGATGTGTGGCATTATTTCTCAGGCCTCTGTTCTGTTCTATTGGTCTGTATATCTGGTTTTGCAGTAGTATCATGTTGTTGTGGTTACTGTAGCCTTGTAGTATCATTTGAAGTCGGGTAGCATGATGCTTCCAGCCTTTTTCTTTTTGCTTAGGATTGTCTTGGCTATACAGGCTCTATTTTGGTTCCATATGAAATTTAAAGTCATGTTTTCTAATTCTGTGAAGAAAGTGAATGGTAGCTTGATGGGGATAGCATTGAATCTCTAAATTACTTTGGGCATTATGGCCATTTTCATGCTATTGAGTCTTCCTATTCATGAGCATGGAATGTTTGTCCATTTGTTTGTGTCCTCTTTTATTTCCATGACCAATGGTTTATAGGTCCTTCACATCCTTTATTAGTTGTCCCCCTAGGTATTTTATTCTCTTTGTAGCAACTGTGAATGGGAGTTCACTCAATATTTGTCTGTTTATCTATTATTTGGTGTAGAGGAATGCTTGTGATTTCTGCACATCGATTTTGTATCCTGAGACTTTACTGAAGTTGCTTTTTAGCTTAAGGAGATTTTGGGCTGAGACCATGGGGGTCTTCTAAATATACAAGCATGTTGTCTGCCAATAGAGACAATTTGACTTCCTCTTTTCCTAAAGGAATACCCTTTATTTCTTTTTCTTGCCTGATTGCCCTGGCCAGAACTTACAATACTATATTGAATAGGAGTGGTGAGAGAGGGTATCCTTGTCTTGTGCCTGTTTTCAAAGGGAATGCTTCCAGCTTTTGCCCATTCAGTATGATATTGTCTGTTGGTTTGTCGTGAATAGCTCTTATGATTTTGAGATACATTCCATCAATATGTAGTTTATTGAGAGTTTTCAGCATGAAGAGATGTTAAATTTTATCAAAGGCCTTTTCTGCAAAAACTATTGAGATAATCATGTGGTATTTGTCATTGGTTCTGTTTATGTGATGGATTGCGTTTATTGATTTGCATATATTGAACCAGCCTTGCATCCCAGGGATGAAAACGACTTCATTGTGGTGGATAAGCTTTTTTGATGTGCCACTATATTCAGTTTGCCAGTATTTTATTGAGAATTTTCACACTGATTTCATCAGGGATATTGGCCTGAAATTTTCTTTTTTGTGTCTCTGCTAGGTTTTGGTATCTGGATGATGCTGTTCTCATAAAATGAGTAGGGAGGGGGTTCCTCCTTTTCTACTGTTTGGAATAGTTTCAGAAGGAAAGGTACCAGGCTCCTCTTTGTATCTCTGGTAGAATTTGGCTGTGATTCTTTCTTGTCCTGGGCTTTTTTTTTTTTCTGGTTGGGAGGATATTAATTACTGCCTCAATTTCAGAACTTGTTTTTTGCCTATTTAGAGATTTGACTTCTTCCTGGTTTAGTGTTGGGAGGGTGTATGTGTCTAGGAATTTATCCATATAGTCTAGTTTATTTGCATAGAGATGTTTATCGTATTCTCTGATGGTAGTTTGTATTTCTGTGGGATCAGTGGTGGTATAGCCCCTTGGTCATTTATTATTTCTATTTGATTCTTCTCTCTTTTCTTCTTTATTAGTCTGGCTAGCGGTATACCTATTTTATTAATCTTTTCAAAAAACCACCTCCTAGATGTATTGATTTTTTGAAGGGTTTTTAGTGTCTCTAGCTCCTTCAGTTCTTCTCTGATCTTATTTCTTGTTTTCGGCTAACTTTGAATTTGTTTGCTTCTCTAGTTCTTTCAATGGTGATGTTAGGGTGTTGATTTTAGCTCTTTCCCACTTTTCCTGTGGACATTTAGTGCTATAAATTTCCTTCTAAACACTGCTTTAGCTGTGTCCCAGAGATTCTGGTACATTGTGTCTTTGTTCTCATTGGTTTCAAAGAACTTACTGATTTCTGCCTTAATTTTAATTGCCCAGTAGGCATTCAGGAGCAAGTTGTTCCATTTCCATGTAGTTGTACGGTTTTGAGTTTCTTAATCCAGAGTTCTGATTTGATTGCAGTGTGGTCTGAGAGAATGCTTGTTCTGATTTCCATTCTTTTGCATTTGCTGAAGAGCGTTTGTTTTACTTCCAATTACGTGGTGGCCAATTTTAGAATAAATGCAATGTGGTGCTGAGAAGAATGTATATTCTGTGGATTTGGGGCGGAGAGTTCTTTAGATGTCTGTTGTTAGGTCTGCTTGGTCCAGAGTTGAGTTCAAATCCTGAATATCCTTGTTCATTTTGTCTCATTGATCTAATATTGACATTGGGGTGTTAGACTCCCACACAATAATAATGAGAGACTTTAACTGTCTTTATAGGTCTCTAAAAACTTGCTTCATGAATCTGGGTGCTCCTGTGTATTGGGTGCATAAAAATTTAGGGTTGTTAGCTCTTCTTGTTACATTGATATCTTTACCACTATGTAATGCCCTTCCTTGTCTTTTTTGATCTTTGTTGGTTTAAGGGCTGTTTTATCAGAGAGTAGAATTGTAACCCTGGCTTTTGTTTTGTTTTGTTTTGTTTTGTTGCTTTCTATTTCCTTGGTAAATACTCTTTTTTTCTGAGCCTATATGTGTCTTTGCATGTGAGATGGGTCTTGACTTTATCCAGTTTACCAGTCTGTGTCTTTTAATTGGAATGTTTAGCCCATTTACATTTAAGGTTAATATTCTTATGTACGAATTTGATCCTGTCATTATGATACTACTGGGTATTTTGCTTGTGAGTGAGTTGATGCAGTTTCTTCACAATGTCAGTAGTCTTTACAATTGGGTATGTTTTTGCAGTGGCTGGTACTGGTTTTTTCCTTTCCATATTTAGTGCTTTCTTCAGGAGCTCTTGTAAGGCAGGCCTGGTGGTGACAAAATCTCTTGGTATTTGCTTGTCTATTGAGGATTTTATTTCTCCGTCACTTAGGAAGCTTAGTTTGACTGGATATGAAATTCTGTGTTGAAAATTACAGTATTGTTAAGCAGGTGACCTTTAAACAAAGTCAGGTGATCTTTTCTCCAGATAGAGGGCATTTGCACACATAACAGCAATTGTAGTCAGAAATGAAATCCCCAGGACATTCAGAGAATAAATCTGCATTACCTAGCCTCTGGCTCTCCTTCCTGTGCTTTCCAAATCTTTTCCAGCAACGGAGGGAAGTAAATCATGCGTCCTTGGTAATCATCCACAAGGTAGCTATGGGCTCAAGTAGTTTTCTCTATTTCTCAGTGTTCCCGCAAAGTTAGTGTTATTCCTATGTGCATCTCCAAATAATGTCAGTGAGGAATCTGCCATGTGCCTTTGAAAACCACCAGGCAAGTTGATGAGTGCCCATCTCATGTTAAGACCCTCTCTTTTCTCAATATGAGTGAATGACCAGGAAAGATGTGTTAGTTAACAAAAACAGAGAGGAGGAACAAGTTGAAGCCTCTTTAATGAGAAGAGAGCATTTGGGAGTACGACCTCTTCAAATGACATCAGTCCCTCTAGGCTTGGATTATTTGTCTCTGCTGATGATCAGAAGAGAAGGTTGGTGAGCACATGTATTATTCCTGTTTCTATAAACAGAGGCTCCCTTCTGCTTTTCTTATGTGTCTGGAAACACCTTAAAATTCCAGAAGAAATGCCTTAGTGGCTTTTCAACCCATGTAGACTTCATGAGTCAGAGTAGTTTTACCTAATCACTCTGTAAAAGAAAGACTCCTCTTGCATCTGGCTTTGTTTTTATTTCTGCCTTTTGGTTTATCTGTGTTGCAGCCCCTCACAGACTGCCAATTCCTGTGGTCAGCCAAGGAGAGTTCTTTTTCAGAAAAGGGCATTTGTTTGCTAATAGTCCTTGAGGGGTGCTTTACTTCACACTTAACAGCACAGTCACATGGTTCATGCTATGTCCCCTGCCACGGCTAGAAATTGTATTCCTCTGAGACATGGGGGGCACCTAGGTTAACAGCAACTACTGGGTTTGTGTCAGATCCTTTAAATGTTGCTATTTGTCATTTGACAATGTTAGAAATACACAAGCACAGCAGATGTGAAGTTATCATAACAGCTGCAAAAGCTCTAGTCTGGATGACATGCCTGGGTGCTCCTTTCAATGTTGCAAAGTGATTAGATTATGAAATTTTTGAAATGGAGTATATATATACATATGTATGTTCCATTTGGAAGGAATGCAAACATGATCAATGGTTACAAACCCAAACTTTGGGTCGCAGAAGCATTTGCTAATAGGGGAACTATATGGCTGTTTACTAATGGAGAACCAGGTTTGTTTGTGATGTAAAGGTATGTGAATGTGGACAGTGTTCATAACAGATAAGACACAAATAAGTTTGTAGTTAAAAATGTTCCTAACTAACTTTTTCTGCCCTTTTATTTCTTGGGGGGAAAAATGATTGATTGATTGTTCCTGTGGTCTGTGTGCTTGCTAACCCCTCCTGGCATCTTCATTTGTGGCCGGGTATGTGGCTTTCCTTCCAAAGGACGGCCAGTCCCGAACAGTAAGGCAGTTCCAGTTCACTGACTGGCCAGAACAAGGAGTGCCAAAGTCCGGAGAAGGATTTATTGACTTCATCGGCCAAGTCCATAAAACAAAAGAGCAGTTTGGCCAAGATGGACCCATTTCAGTCCATTGCAGGTAAGTTACAATTCAAGAATGGTGACATTCCATTTGTGATTGATTAAAGCAGTGATAACTGTGAAAATAATCAAAGGAAAATGTTTATTCCCAAAATTTGCTTCCTATTACACAAACCAAATTACCAATTTTACGTCAACAGGAACTGTTGGTACCCCCCCAGTAATAATTTGTTCTGTTATGCATTTTGTATTTGCTTTAGCTTTCATAGCAATGCACTGATGACTATCTTTGTGAGAAACCGGTGAATAGCTATCAAATCTTAATGACAATACTAATTTTTGCCAGTCAATAAGTGCTTCCTATGGTACCTCAGTTAAAAATGCAATTTGCTTGAAAATTCTTGCTATATCAGAAAACGAAGCACCTTCAAGTTAATTATTTTCAATAGTTACTAGAGCACTTTATAACTCAATTCATTGATGTTAATAGAAATAGCAAGTAAATGGTTCAGACAGACATTCACCACAAATTTAGTGTTTTTGGAAATTGCTATGCCAAAACCTTCTAAACAAAAAGAATTCACCTACGTTTATTTAAACAAAAAATATTGAAAAAATTTTTTTTCAATATTTTTTCCTTTAGCACATCAAAAGTATAGTTCTTAATGACATAGAAGGCAGAATCTCAAGATGTCTGTATTCCAGTCTTAATCCTATTATTTAGCTTAATGGGAAGTTTCTCTGGACGTCAGTTATCTTACCTGATGTTTAAAGTTCCTTCCAGCATCCTTTGTTTCTCAGGCATATTATATCATATGAAAAACGAGTTATTAAAAATCTTTTGCAAACTAACCAAAGAGCATGGAGGAAATCACACAAGGAATCAAATAAAGGCATACCTCAAAAATAGTATGGGGGTTTAGTTCCAGACCACCACAATAAGGGGCATTACATACATTTTTTGGTTTCCCATTTCATACAGTGTGCAATAGCATCGTATCTAAACAACAATGTACCCTACCTTAATTTAAAAACAACTATTTTATTGCTAAAAAATGCTTACCATCCTCTGAGCCTCTGATTTTGTTTTGCTGGTGGAGGTGGAGGGTGTTGTCTTGATGTTGATGGCTGCTGACCAATCAGGGTAGTGGTTTCTGAAGGGTGAGGTGGCTTGTAGCAATTTCTTAAAAGACGATAATGATGAAGTTTGCCACTTCACGTGACTCTTTTTCAAGAGTCTTCTCTGCAGCATGAAATGTTGTCTCATAGCAGTTTTCCCACAGTAAAACTTCTTTCAAAATTAGTCATTCCTCTGCAACCTTGCTGCTTTTCTCTTCTTTATACACTATTCTAAATCTTTGGTTATTTCCAGTATTCACACCTTCCTCACCATGAGTACATTCCATCCTGACAAACCACTTTCTTTGCTTGTCTATAAGAAGCAGAAGCAACTCCTCATGTATTCAAGTTTTACCATGAGGCTGCAGCAGTTCACTTACAGCTTCACGCTCCATGCTCCACTTCTAGTTCTCTTGCTATTCCACCATGGTTGCAGTTTCTTCCTCCACTGAAGTCTTGAATCCCTCAAAGTCATCCGTGAGATCAGAATCAACGTCTTCCAAACTCCTGTTAACAGCAGATAAAATGGTAAATTATTTCCAGGAAATTTTCAGTTTACTTTGCCCAGACCCATCAGAGAAATCACTATCTATCTATTGAAGGAATAGCCTTATAAAATGTAGTTCTTAAATAAAACTTGAAAGTTGAAATTCCTCCTTGATCCATTGGGCTGCAGAATGAGTATTGTGCTCACAGGCATGAAAACATATCTCCTTGTACATTCCATTAGAGCTCTTGGGTGACAACATATGTTGTCAATGAGCAGTAATATCTTGAAAAGAATCTCTTATTCTGAGCAGTAGGTCTCAAGAGTGGCCTCAAAATAGTCAGTAAACCATGCTGTAAACAGACATAGTCATCCGTGCTTTCTTGTTCCATTTATGGAACTGGACTATCTAGTACAAGAAGTCTAGCTTTCAGCCTGTCTTGATGTTTGATGTGCCTTCCTTATTATTTCAAGCTTTTGACTTAAAGTGAGGGATGTATAACTCTTCCCTTCACTTGAGTATGTTTATTGTAAATTGTCAAGAGCCCTAGGATTTTCAAAACAGTAAATGAGCTTTGGCTTCATCTTAATGTCACCAGCTACATTACCCTGTAACGAGAGAGTCGGCCTGTTCTTTGAGTTCTGAAGCTAGGTATTGACGACTCCTCTGTAGCTCTGGAAGTCTTAGATGGCCACTTCATCTAATAGAATGCTGTTCATCCACATTAAAGAGCTGTTGTTTAATGTAGCCACCTTCATCAATGATCTTACCTAGAGCTTCTGGATAACTTGCTGTAGCTTCCATAACAGCACTTGTTGCTTCACCTCACACTTTTATGTTATAGGGTTGGCTTCCTTCCTTCACCCTCAAAAGCTAACCTCTGCTAACTTCAAACTTTTCTTCTGCAGCCTCCTCACCTCATCATTCGTACAATCAAAGACACTTAGGTCCTTGCACTGGCCTAGGCTTGGATTTAAGGGAATGTTGTAAATGGTTTGATCTTCTATCCATACCTTTAAAACTTTCTTTGTATCAGCAGAAAAGCTGTTCTACTTCCTTATCCTTCCTGTGTTCACTGGAGTAGCACTTTTCATTTCCTTCAAGAACTTTTTGCACTCACAACGAGGCTGTTTGATGCAAGAGGCCTGAGGAGAAAAAGACAGATGGGGAAACTGCTGATTGGCGGAGCAGTCATAACACACACATTTATCAATTAAATCTTCGTTGTCTTATGGTCATGGTTCATGGCACCCCAAACCAATTACAGTGGTAACATCAACGATCATTGATCACAGATCACTATAACAGATACAGTAATAATGAAAAAATTTGACATATGGCAAGAATTACCAAAATGCCACACAGAGACACAAACTGAGTATGTGCTGGTGGAAAAATGGCACCAATATAGTTCTTCAGTGAAAGATTGACGCAGACATTATCTGCAAAGCTTAATAAGGGAGAGCACAACAAAACAATGTACGTCTGTATTTAGGCAAACTAGATGCTTTCTATTGGGACTGAATTACCTGGATATTTCTTTTGTCTTTACTCATAATTTGCCCAAATGCTAATTTGACCTTTTCTAATATAATCTCTTAGGAAAAGAGTATCTTTAATTTAATACTATCTATTCTTAGCTGTAGGCATCCTCATATGTATAGGTACACCAATGTGTTTTTGCGTGTGTATTCTCATTACTTTTATCATCATAAAATGATTTCAATTTCCCTTTAGTATCATGCTATGACTTGTGATTCATATACCTATATATGTATCCATAGAACACTTCTGAAAATACTTTTCTTATTTACAACTTGTTAAACCAAGATGATAAAATCAATAAATTTAAAACTTGTAAGTCCAGTATCCATTCTTTTGTTGAAAATACTTAGTACAAAGACAGAAACCCAATGTTTTTGTTACATTCGAGTTAGTTATCAAATCATGCTAAGATAGACTCTAGAGTACCCAGACCATTCAACAAAGAGATTAGAAATCTCAGTTTCTCACAACTAAAAGACTTTCAAGGTTAAAAGAGACCTTCGAGGTCATTTGCTTCATCTTAACAAAAGGCTTCACGGCTGCTGGACATCTTAAATCACTTCTTAAAGACTGTCTGCGCATGGATCTTGAAGGCTCACTTAACATTTCTGTTTAGACTGTAGAAATCCCGTTTATAAAGGGACACACTATTTATATATGCCTGTCAGCCACATCCTCCAGTAAATGACTCCATCTATTTTCTACAGCCCATGCCCAAGTGTTACACATGCTGTTTAATTTGGATCCAGAAATATAGGGATTTTTCACATTATTCACTGTATTCCGCATTACCTCAACTTCCAGATGCTTTCCTACTTAAATGCACAAAACCTATGAATTAGTTTTCTTTCTTGCCGATGTGAAGGTTCTGGAGTTATCTTTAAAACAGTTAAGACAGCAGAGAGAAACTCAACACCTTTCTAATGTGGTAGAAAGGTTCTGAGGGTTTCAGTTGCTGATCATGTAAAAACGGTAGATAAGTTTAGAGATCTAATCTTAAAAAAACCATTGTTTTTTAAGATTAGTTACCCCTGTGAGAATCTGTTGAAAGTTGTTAAGTCTCAAGAAATAAGAAAGCAATGTAGTAATTACTTCATCTGTACATACACTTATAGGATAATCATAAACTCTCCTGAAGACAGAGGGAAAATCACACACACATATACCCTGTTATAGAATCTTTCTCATAATAAAACCAATATGAACATTTGAATAGTTATAAACAAATATGTCTAGGTTATGGGGCATCACGTACATTTTTTAGGTAACTATAAAAAGTGAATAAAGTGCTAGAAAAGTTCATGCCAAATTCATTCACCTTGGTCTGAATTATTTCATACTTTAAAGACGTTAAGGAGGCAAGTTCTGAATTTTAGAAGCTGTATGTTGTTTACCCTTTCTTTTTTCATTTGTTATGTTTCCTTGGTCTTTCTAAAATGGTATAAGTCCCTATTGAAAAGACTTTTATCAGACTTACTCCTAATCAGGCTTACTGCTCATGCTGTTATAACTCACTATCCCAAGAGTAATCATTTGGTGAATACGATGCCACATTTTCCTGAACATTCTGCTACCAGCTTCCACATTCCATGCTGTGGAGAAACGTGGAACGTGGAAGCCAGTAGCAGTATGTCCACCCCCAAGCAAATGTGGCCAAGACGGTGCGCACCTCACCCAGTAACGATGCTTTTGTTATTGTGGCAGCGCTGGCGTGGGAAGAACTGGAGTCTTCATAACACTAAGCATTGTTTTGGAAAGAATGAGATATGAAGGAGTCGTAGATATCTTCCAGACTGTCAAAATGTTAAGAACACAGCGGCCAGCCATGGTACAGACAGAGGTGAGAAAATCCATTGCATTTTTCACATCTCGGGAGCCTCCGTTTTGCTAGCCAGGACCTCCTGGAACCCAGACTCTCTCAACACCGGACAGTACATACCGTGGGGCAAGCATCAAACTGTTTAATAATTTTGAACCTCATTTCCTCCCTTTTTTAAATGGGGTGAGATTATCAATGTCTTAGTGTTGCCACAGAAATTATGTGAGATTCTATGTTAGATTGAGCTATATTAAATTTCACTGTTGGACCATTTTTTACCAGTAAAATGGCAATTTCACAAAATTCATCATATTCATATTCCTATAGTATACAATTTATATACAAATATATAGAAAGCATAATGTTTAGCACATAATATAATCTCAGTCCATTTAACTTCTTCATTCTCCCTTTGTATGCCTACAGAGATATCAGCAGCTCTATATTTCATGTCTTAACAATGACCATTCAAAACATTTTGATTCTAGATAAGCCTACAGATACTCTATTTGTCCCTCATTTGATATGCCAATAATTAATATGGAAATTTAGATATTTCTCATCATGATATGAGTTCATGATTGAGCCAGTCTGGTCTCTTGAGCATTCATATCTAAAGGTACTATTACTGATGATAGAGTTTATGTTCTGCAGAAGGCCACCAAATTCTACAATTTATATGTGCTCCTCACTTTATCATCCACAGTATCTGCCAAGCATTGATTTCAAACCAGTGCAACTATTTGACTTGCAATACTCAAAACATTGTGTCAGCCTGACAAACTTAACGGGTCTTGGGGGTGACAGAAGGAAACTGGACATTTAAAAAGCCTTAACACTTAGGCAAGCAACTTACTGTGACAAGACAGGAAAGTAAACACCATTTATTTTGCATTGTACGAAAATGCACATTTAAGCAAAATAGAAACTATCTACTTTCAGCCCGATTGGCTACTGAAAATAGGTTTCTTTTATGGGGAAAAAGCCTACTTTTTCTCATCCCTAAAGAGATCTATATATAAACCATCTTTTTCCATCTCTCCAACAATACTTTGACTTATTCCAATATAATAGTGTTCTTGTCTGAAAAAGGCCATGTTTCGTCATGTTTTGTTTTAGTGTGTGCCTTTCTGAAACAGACAGCTAGCAATCACACAGAATTGAGCTGAATTCATAGGTATTTTTGGATGTGGGCAGCCAATCTTGTGATGCCGTTTTCAGGGATGAAAAGCTTGGCAGTCCAGTGCCCTGTGTAAATGGACTTGTGTGCCGCACCAGCTACCTTTTGGCTGTCTCTCTCACTTACATATGAACATCGTAAACGACTGTGAGGGATTCTCAATGCAGGCTCTACTGTCCAATCGTGTTTTTCCTTAATTCAAAATTCTGCTGGCAGTAGCTCAGAAGATAAATCCAGATTTTTTCTCAGGGCAGCTTGTCCTGAGAAATAGTTAAACTGAGAATAATTTATCACAAATATTAAAGATTTTAAATATTTAAACTGAGAATCAGTTAACACAAATAAGCAGATAATTGTAAAAGATGACTTTGATCATTAACTGCTTATAAGGCACGTAAGAACTTTATGTGTTCAGTTGGTGGTAATTTTGTGCTACTACTCAGAAAACACTTGTCTGGGAAGGTAATGTTCACTCAACCTACCACTGCTTGGAATTGAGAGATAATTTTAGTCAAATTGATCAGTGAGGTCGATAAACACCCCATGTGGCTACTTTTTCTTTGTTCACTGTAATGAGCTGGTCATAGGATGAAATCGATTGACGAAAGTACTGATCTTGCCCCTATATAGATGTAATTTTGTTATCCAATATTGACATTTATTTTTCTATTAAAGTATACTCATGGTCCCTTCTTCTGTTTCTCCCCATTCCTTGTCTCCTACAGGATCAGTATCAGTTTTGCTATCGAGCCGCACTAGAGTACCTGGGCAGCTTTGACCACTATGCAACGTAGAAACCCCTGACCCATTCTGGATTTTTACTACAGGCCCTTCAATATCCATGGAGTCTCCTCTGAGCCATACAGGGCACTTGAGAAGTCCTTCTTAACTTCTAGCTAACAACTACTTAGTGGGACTATTACACACAAAACAAATTAAAAACAAATTATTACAGGTGGACCAAGAATTCACAGTTTAATAATCTAACCAGAAAAATTATGGAGAGAATCCTGACTGATGAGGCATCTGAAGGATTTTATTTACAGATACCTCAAGGATTCAAAATCAAGGGAAGAAGACATCACAGCAAAGAACCACCATCTTATTCAGGATTGCTTGAAAGGCGCAAGGAGAAATTGCCAGAAGGCTGCAGTTCGGCTCAAGATGGTGCCAGTGTGGCTTCTCACAATGAAATGGACTCTGCTTTGACATCACCCCTTCCCACCATACAGCTCATAATAACATTTTAGGGGGAAAGTGGGGGGGGGGATGTTTAAGAAGAAAGTCCTTAATTTAGTTTTTTAGTATTGTAAAGATACTGCTGACCTGTGCTTCATTTCTAACTGTGTAAACTTTTTTTTAACAAAATGTATCATTCGATAAAGTGAATTTTAAAAAAGTGACATAACTTCATTTTTTATTTCCAAATCGTAGGTTTTTTTAAGCTGTAGAACTGTTATCTGTAATATCTTGCTGTAGAAATCTCAAATAATTTGAAAATTTGCACATTTTTGTGCAATACTCAATCTACAGTATCAGTCTCGTCAGATATATTACTTTTACACTTCTGTTCAGTTTTGATTGGTGAGAACGTACCCATTCTCTTCAAATAAAGAGAATTATTATTTTGTTTTGTTTTTGGAATCAACAGGGAGGCGCAAAGTATAAAGTTGCTGCTAACATATATACATATATATCCATATTTTATACGGGTGTCTATGTATATATAGACAGTTTGTCCACACAAAAAGTAGATACAGCTATCAGTCAGTTCTTCCATTATTTGGTTTTTTTAAATGTAAAAAAGCTATTGTAAACATCTCTTTCCATTTATTCTTAATTTTATGACACATTGGTATTTCTTACTATCACAAAACTTTCATTTTTTTTAAGGGAAGCGAGGAATGCACATCAGTGATTGTCAAACCTCACCCCCTAACTTCCTACCCAGTCTGCCCCCCCCCCCCCCGCCCACCCAATCATATTCACAAATTCTGTTTCGTTAGCCAGGCTTCCAACAAAGTTCAATATTTCTAACACTCTAGTGCAATAAAAATTATTAAATAGCTAAGAGGTGTGCATGTGGGAAAGGTCAGTGCATATCCCTTTAGGAGGGGAGAATGTTGTAATATATCAGCCTATCAAGTTGTTTAAAAAAAGTGTATTCAATCGTATATTGTCTATAGTATGTGCTATGAAATTTGCATTTATGATATGTAACAGGGGCAAAGCCAAATTCATGTTACTCTGTTCAGTCAGAAACATTTTGTGGCATACAGCATTCCTGGGAAGTGCTGTACTTTGTTTCGTTTTGGTTTTAGGTTTGCATTTAGAGTGCCTTATAATTGATGCCTATTTTAATAGCATTTCCTTTTAGCTTTTGGTTCGTATTTCCATTCACTGTTTGTATCTGTTACTCTTTCTATTAAAGCATTATCTGTTTACCACATGTACAAAAAACTCTTTGAATAATATGCATTCCTAGTTTTCAGCCAAGTCGGGGATGTTAGTGATTGTACCAGCCCAGAGCACTTGGATAATCAGGGCCCTTCTTCCTTTTATAATTGTCAACATCAGAAAAAGCTACTTGTTTTATTTATATTCCCTTCCAAATCTGCTCTGGAACATGCAGTAACTGCACCAAACTTATTTTAGTAACAAGTATCATTGGCAACTTTGGAATATATTTGATATTCCATTAGGATTTTTCTAAAAGGGGAAATAAACCGTGCATATACATATATATATATATATATATATATATATATATATATATATATGTCCATCCCCCAATTCTTCCAACATAATTTCTATAGGAAGCCATGGATGATGGCATGAGTTTGCCACATTTTACATGATTTTAAATAATCCTCAAAATATCCAAGGAACTCTTAAAGAGTTTTGGTATGAGTATACTACTTTGGTTTAATTTTAGCTTCATAGATGTTCTGCATGGAAGGATTTTTATTTTCCACATTTTCCCATTGCTAGCAGAATGAAATCCAAGAGACCAAACACTTGCAAGCATTGTATTTGAGCACTTTTGTAAAAAACAAAGAAAAAGAAAAAGAAAAAAAAGAAAATATATATAATACTAAAAAAAAAAAGTATCTAGAAGGCTACCTCAGAATGAGACTCTCTAACCTACATCAGAACCAGAGAAGAATGTGCACTATGTGGGTCTGTTATCCTTTTCTTTTAGTTTGTATCTTTTGGAGATTTATCCAAGTGCCAGATTACTCAGTGCTATACTTTTCTTTAAGTTAAACAAAGGGGGTCAGACAGACATTGCCTCATCTAGACATGCCTTGTTGGACATGTAGAATCTGATGGAGCATTGCACACCAGAAATGATTGGCCAATGAGCAGCTTCTCTCCCTGAAACAAAAACTGCCCATTTGGCAAAGGGAAAGATGACAATAATCAGAAGAAGAAAATGAATGGGATGCATACTGTAGACGAACGAGGCGGAGACTATTGCAGGAATCTTACTGTTCAGGAGCTGTTCCTAGAACTAACTCCCTTACTGTCATTGATGTGCATTCCACTCTGTGCTTTTCTGTACAACCATTCGAGTTTTCATTTCCCAGGTAAACATCTTTATCTGCCATTACCACAAGCTTTCAAGTTTCCAGTTATTTTCATCATCATAACCAGTACGGTGCTATTATTTACCTATGTACGTGTAGTTATGTATAATTTTGTAATTAGTTACAATGGTAAAAAAAAAAATCAAAATATATAAAAAGTGATTTGTACAGAACTTTATTTTAGCTCTTTTTTAAAAATGATTTGCATGGTTAGACAACGGCGAGGACAGCCAGGGGAGGGAAGGGCCTCTAGGGAACTTTGCACTTTCTATACCTTTGTACTATGCACTGCCCTATTGATTCTACACCCAATAATGATATTACTTGAACCCATCTGTAAGAAACTGCTTCGGAAATTCATTTGTGTGTATGTAAATAACACGACACAGAAACAGGAAGGGAAAAAATGCACGTATTTTTTTCTTTCCTGTTTATTTTCGGTTTTGCTTCAAGTCCTTCCTTTCATTTCTAATCCCCTTTTTGTTTTTCTTTTTGGGTTTCGGTTCCTTTTGGGTTTATGGGTGCCCTGATACTCCAGCAGAGATCAGAAGGCTACAGATCCATTCTATCCATCCGTTATGTGGCTTTGCCATCCCAGCTTGGAGTGTCTTTACAAAGATAATAACAGTTGTGTTCTTTGCTCTCGTTTTGGATGCCTAGACTGAAAAACTTAAAAAAATAACTTGTAAAATGGCTTGTTAAAAAAATACAATTACCTCTAATTAGTAGTACGCGTAAATGTTTTACAGAATGAAAGGCGTGCTTTTTATTTTCTTACTTCGTTACATTGGTGGCGAAAGAAGTCTGTATGAAAATCAGTTCTTTGCTGACACAAGTTCCATTTGTTACAAATGAATTCTAATAAAAATGTCAGTGTTATGCAGCCCTGGCCTTTGCTTTTGTCCATGCAAGCACTTTTGTTTTGAACTGAGTATATGTTCTCTCTTCTCTTCTGGTTATCTAGTTAGTTCCTTGTACTAGTAACATTTCTGCTTACCGAGGGACTACTGTTCACAAATATCTACCCTGAGGAAAGCACTTTTCACTGGCAAGCCAACACTCAGAGAAATAGATTTTTTCCAAGTTCACAGAGCAAAGAAAGAGGATTGTTTTCATTCATATCAGAGATCATGGGCAATCTTTAGTTCTGTGGAAGATGACTATATAGAAATTTAAGTGCACAACTATATGTACATCTGTATGTACGTATGTATTTTCACCTTGAATCAACTTTCAAGCACATAAAAATAGCTCCATAGAGTTAACTTATTAATAACTTTGGGAACATGGCTAAGAAAATACTTGATTTGGGTTATTTATTCTGTCATTCAATATTATCAAGTACCAATAATGGGTCAGAATAGTTCTAGGTACTGGAAGCGCAGCTCTGAGCAAATGACGTGCTGCTGCTGTTTGCGTACAGACTACAGCCTACTGAGAGAGGTTGGCCCTGAAGTGATAGTAACATCACCTTGGACCAGTGCTATGAAGCAATGTGTAGGATCCTTGAAGTTAGGACTATCAGTTGTCAGTGACAGAAAGTCTGACAGAAATTGGCCTACAGGAAAAGAAAGGTGTTTACTGACTTGCATACTAAAATATAAGGAATGGACGCATACTAAAAGAGTAGAAATACATCATCTTCAAGCATAACTGGATTCAGGGCTCAGGTGATGCCTTCAGGAGTTAATGTTTCTTCCCACCATCCAGCCTGATTTCTACTCTCACAGTGTCAGTTTTCAACTCCCTTTCTGTGGTCCCTGGAAGCTTTGGGATCATAACACCACAGAGCAGACAAGTGGAAGAGTTCCCTTCCCCCAACAACACAATCCAAAGTCCTAGAATGGATCGGATTCTTCTTGATCCTAATTGAACCTGTCTCGGGTAAGTGATCATCTCAGGAATGCAAAGTATGGACAGAAGGCAAGAACGTGTGCATTGAGTTATCAAATCCAGAAGGATTTCAGGTGGCTGTCCCCTTGCCAAACAGCAATGAATATAATGGGACCAACAACGGGCTGCTGATCAGCCTAATTAGTTAAGGTAACGCAAAGCACAGGTGTGCTTGGTAATGTTGAAACTGCTTGTTTAAAATAGTAACAGAATAACACAATTCCATTATCCAAACATTATTTTGGAACTACTGTTATTGAATGATCAATCAGACTCCTCTGTTTTTCCACTTCACCTAATGGGCTTTTACTTCTGCAGATATGACTACCCTGTTGATTGATTATGTAAAAATGGGACAAAAAGTTCAAAGTGTATCAGATTTGAGACTTTGTGCTTCATAACCTTAAACAGACATCTGATGGAATACGAAGAATAGCAAAATACCTGATTTTATACATGTATACACACACAGCATTAATAACAAATTATAAGTTACACCGTATTAGTTAATAACCAATTATAACTTTGGGACACTTACACTTAGTTGTATCCATGATTAAACTTTATAGTGAGAATTTTACCAATTATAATCGTGTAAAATTATAAATCTGAAAAATATTTAACTTTATAATATTTAAAATTTGTCTGCAAATTTTAAGGAAATATAGTAGGCAAAGACCTGTGAAATCTTGTGCTGAATAGTACAGAGACTTAAAATATGTAAAATTGTATGTATGTAAAAATGTTTTACATATACAAAACATATGTGTATTGTATATGTTACACATAATTTTACATATATTTTACATACACACCGTAATGCCATTTATAATGCATTAGCATTTCACTATTAAATAATGTTTTCGAAAAAAAGATGTGGCTGCATTAAAAACTGTAATATCCTTTTCAAGAAAGGATATAAAATTATGTACACAGCTGGAAACAAAGAAATTACTTGAAAGAAATACCATTATGAAATGATACTGTGTGATAAAATTTTATTGCTGCACTTTGTACATTTTCTTAAATTTTTACGATAACTATTTCAAAATAGCACACTGTGGGTGCTTTGAAATATGTGGGAAGATGGAATAATTTTTTAAAAATCGATTTACAAAGGGATGAATGAAGAGAAAAGAGAACCTAGGACAGGTGGGGCAAATAGAAAGTAAATACTATGATAGATTTAAAATTTAAAACAGTTATTACCGCAAATGTAAATGAAGTCTATTCAACTTAAAGATACATATTTTTAGCCTAGCTAAATAATCCTTGTAAGAACATGAGACTACTAAAAGTAAAAGGATGTCAAAGCTATACTATGCAAATATAGCCGAAAGAAAGCTATACTGAGTTATAGTAATATCGACCACAGCATTACCAAATAATAAAACAGTCCATTTCCAATGGAAAAGAAACGTCAATCCACCAGGAAGATGTGACAATTCTGTGTGTGTATGAACCTCTTAACATGGCCTCAAAATGTAGACAACAAAAATAGAACTTAAAGGAGCTACAAACATATTCACAACACTTACGGGAGATTTTAAAACACTTCTCTTATTAACTGATAAAATGAACCAACCAAGTAAAACTTCAGTAAGGGTATAAAAGATGTGAACAAGCTTATTAACAAAATTTACCTAAGTGAGCTACGTAGACGACTACATTTGATAAATTAAAGACATACATTATTTTCAAGAGCATTTAAAACATTTACCTAAATTAACTAGAAATTGGACCTTAAAGAGAGTCTCAACATATTTGAAAAGCTGTAATAATATGGAGTACGTTGTTTGGCCACAGTAATAGTTAAGCTGGACATCAATAACTGAAGTGGTTAGAAAACTCTTTATGTACTAATTAAGAAATAACTTTTAAATAGTCAGTAGGTCAAAGAAAAAAATCACAATGCAATTAAGAAATTTCAGCTCTAAGATTGCGAAACTCTAAATATAATT